TTTTTTTTTTGGGGGGGGGGGGGGGGGTTAGAATTTTGAGGATTTCCACCGACGGCCTCTATAGCGTTCCAATTTATTTTTTTATTACTATTTTATTTTTTTATATCGATCCAATTTTAACGGAATGTAAGCTGTTTTTTCCACACACAAAAAAAAAATAATAATAATAATAACGGAAGACCGGGAAATCCTCAACAAAGAACCTGAAAAAGTACCGGGACCACCAACTGGCCCAGCTCAGAGTCGATACACACCCCTGCCTGAACTGAACACTGTTGAAATACAGACCTCAGTTTTTTTTTTCTTTTTCTTTCTTTTTTTGGGAAGAGACCTGAGTTCTAACTCCACTGAAGATCTACCTTCTTCCACCAAATAAAACGTACGGAAATTATAGCTGTATTTTTAGACTGAAAGATACCCCAAATACAGCTATAATGACCGTACGTTGTATCGGGGGGAAGAAGGTAGCATAGGAATGAAGATGGAAAGCGTAGACGTATGACGCCGCATTCGTATAATCTTGAATTACCTACGGGCGGTCAGTTTGATGGTCATATCTCAAAGTCGTCGCCCTTCAGAACAAAAACAAAAAAAACAAAAAAAAACAAAAAACCGACACCATTACCCAGCCACGGGGCAAACGTCGTTCATGCTTGTTAGTTAAACCTCTATTAAAAAAAAATAATAATAAAAAAAGCAGAAGAAGAAGAAGACGAAGAAGAAGAAGAAGAAGATAACCTATGCTTGCACTACCTACCTACCCCACTACTCCTAAGCCCCTATACAGGGAACCCCTGCAATCATAGCTCTCTCTCTCTCTCTGCAGAGAAGGGAGGAGGTTACCTCTCTGAGTGGGAGGTAATAATATGAAAGATATGTTCCATGACATGGCAGAACGCCATGTCAGATTGAGAGAAGAATATCGCTTAGTTTATAATTAAAGAAAAAAAAAAAAAGATTACCTATGCTTGCACGGGTCCTCTGTATAGGGGCTTAGGAGTAGTGGTCGCCAGACGTAGTTGAAGGCAACGGAAAAAAAAAAAAAAAAAAAAAAAAAAAAGGCAACAAATTCAGAGAAATGAGTGGCGCATAGGTTTCTGAAAAACGAAAACAAACAAAATTAAATTAAATTAAAAAAACGATTACCTAAGGTAGAGACCCGAAGATCCAGGACCCCTCGTCACAAGGAAGAAGCGACCAACGACCAACGACCAAACCTGTCGATGGCCATGGCCATCGCCGAAAAAAGACAAAACGAGCAGCACCAGGGACCAAGTCCCACTAGCAAAGAGGATGGGATCGAGCTCCTGAATCTGGATGTGTTTTATGCACAGACGCAGAAAAGCAGTTCAATCTGGATATCCTGCACATCTCCATAACCTCGTCCAGATTCAGGCATTCGATCCGATCCTCTTTGCTAGTGGGACCACGCCCCAGACGATGTCTAATGCGTCCGAGGGCGCTGGTAAAACAACGTACAGAGAAAGGGGGGGGGAGGGGGGGGGG